GACATCTGGGAACGAATGGAGCTCCTCGGAGCAATTTCCATGAAAGTATTTGTAGAACAGGCAGAGGGAGGTGATGGCGCGTCTGTGAGAAAGTGACTGTAGATGAGACGCCAGAGCAGGGCCAACTACATTGCAAATCTGCCTCTGGAGCCTATCAAGAACCCCGAGGCAAACAGAAGGGGCACCAGACCATATATGGCAGCAATACTCCATGCAAGGGCGAATGTGTCGAGAACAGAAGCTTTTAGATGATTCCTGTCAGTGAAAATGGTGATATTGCTTACCTTTTTAGAAGGAAACTGAAAAATAATAATCTGAAGTTGCTAACATCTTTTTGTAAGAATTCAAATATTGTTTGCTTGAATTTTTGTTGAATAATTCCTTTTAACTATTTACTTTATATCTGAATTTGATCAGGCTGTGTTAGGATTTTCCCCTGTTGTGCGTGTGTTTGTGTTCGGCAATGTTAGTTGAATGAACTAAAAAATACCACTAGCTTGAATAAGTGTTCAGAACAGCTTTTATTGGGTTTAAAAAAGTAGTGCAAAATAGGAGTAACTAGCAGTAGAGCCCGGCGTTGCCCGGGGATGTAACAGTAAGAGATAGATCAAGTACCGACCATCATAAAGACTGAATAATAAAATTGACAAAGATTATTGTTTAAGGTTGACGGACACGCATGTCTTAATTAGTTTTCTTTTTTGTTTTTTTATTTTTTTTTACGAATTGGTCAAACCCAAACTTGAACAAAAAGATTGTTTTCAATCGTTATGAGTCTACTGATTGAATAGAATTTTATTATAAACAATTGTCTTGTAAATGGAATTTTTAAAGCATTCTGAATGTAAAAATAAAGAAAAAAGTGTGGAAGACAATAAGTAACACTACCTGCCAAAAAAAATTGAACACACACACAAACAACCAACCTGGGTTTATAATAAGTATAACTCGATAACTCGATATTAATAAGTATAACTCGATATGAGTTGTCCCCCTTTCATTAATGCCTCTTAATCATGTTTTCAAATTGATTCCGTGCAAAAACAATTGTGTTTTTCCAATTTTTGGCACTGTCAGAATTACCGCAAGGTAATTTTACGTAGTCCTGTGAAGTTTTGTTGAAATCGGTTGAAAAATGTAGGAAATCCGATCCAATATATAAACGTACACACACACACACACACACACAATCTGCGTTTTATAATAAGTAAGATTTGCAGGGGCCAGAAAAAGAGAGGAGTTTTCCCAGTTAAGTGTTCTTGAATGTAGTAATTGTTTTTGTTGAGGGAGATTTCTCCACCAGTTCCTGCAGGCGGAACAAGGAATCCAAGTGTGAAACTGCTAGGACGGGCCCCATCTTTTGCAGCAAGGGTTGAGTGTAGTTTCTCTTGGTGTGCTTTGAAGGGAGATTTCTTTGCCGGTTCCTGTGGGAGGAACAAGAAATCTAATGTCAAGCTGCTAAGACCAACCTCCTTTTCTGCAGGAAGTGTTGTGTATAGCCCTCCTGTAGGAAAAGAGATAGACAGCTGACTGAATGTTGAGGCAGCTGAAATTGAATGAAAAAAAGAAGGCAAATAGGACTCTGTCAAGGCTTTTATAACCCCAGGGACTTCAGGTTGTACCCTGCTGATTATTTCTGTTGCTGAATTAAGCAAAGTAAGGAAGCCACCACATGCCACAATAGCCAACAAGTGAGATCTTTTTTTTATAGCTGATGTTATCACATCTTATCAAGATATGCTATACAGTGTATGACTTGAGGTGCACCGTACACATGAATGGTTCTTTACTTTTTTGTTTTTAAGTATATGTAAATGGGTTATGTGCCTACGTAGAGTCTAGTCATAACCACTTCCTTTTATTTACATTTAGACTATTGTCCTCATCTTTATCACATTTTGGCCTTTGTGATCTCTGCTCTTCATCAGGTGCTTGTCAATCTGGGTAATCTTCAGGAAGTTTTGAACAGAATCTTTTATTTCATCTATCAGTGTTTATTGTTTTATTTCCACTGACCATGTCTAGGGATATCTTGTCTAATTTTTATTTAATACTGTTCAGTTATTATTCACCCCTCCTGGGTATGATGATAAACTACATCCGGCAGCAAGGCCTCTGACTGGGAGACTGGAGGTTTTGAGGAACATGGAACCACCTCTTGCTTTTGAACACCCAATACTACCAAAATCCTGGGTATGAGGATAAACTACATCCAGCAGCAAGGCCTCTCACCTGGAGATTGGATGTTTTGAGGTTTGTGGAACCACCTCTTAATTGCTGTTGTTCCCAGGTCCTCCCTGACCTGGGCTGATAGAACATATTAGGGTCTCAACTATGGACAAATAGTGAACCCCCAAACAAAATACTGTGAAAGTATATCAATGCATTTTTATATAAAAAAAAATTTACCAACAATACAAGTTTAAAACAAAATAATCAGCAATATAATTTTATAGCAGAATTACCAACAATACATTTTCTAATAAACTGACCAACAATACATTTTCTAATAAACTGACCAACAATACATTTTCTAATAAACTGACCAACAATACATTTTTTGACTAATAAATTTTCTAATGACCAACAATACATTTTCTAATAAACTGACCAACAATACATTTTCTAATAAACTGACCAACAATACATTTTCTAATAAACTGACATTTTCTAATAAACTGACCAAATACATTTTCTAATAAACTGACCAACAATACATTTTCTAATAAACTGACCAACAATACATTTTCTAATAAACTGACCAACAATACAACTAATAAACTGACCAACAATACATTTTTCTAATAAACTGACCAACAATACATTTTCTAATAAACTGACCAACAATACATTTTCTAATGACCAACAATACATTTTCTAATAAACTGACCAACAATACATTTTCTAATAAACTGACCAACAATACATTTTCTAATAAACTGACCAACAATACATTTTCTAATAAACTGACCAACAATACATTTTCTAATAAACTGACCAACAATACATTTTCTAATAAACTGACCAACAATACATTTTCTAATAAACTGACCAACAATACATTTTTCTAATAAACTGACCAACAATACATTTTCTAATAAACTGACCAACAATACATTTTCTAATAAACTGACCAACAAACTAAATACATTTTCTAATAAACTGACCAACAATACATACATTTTCTAATAAACTGACCAACAATACATTTTCTAATAAACTGACCAACAATACATTTTCTAATAAACTGACCAACAATACATTTTCTAATAAACTGACCAACAATACATTTTTTTCTAATAAACTGACCAACAATACATTTTCTAATAAACTGACCAACAATACATTTTCTAATAAACTGACCAACAATTTTCAATAAACTGACCAACAATTTTCTAATAAACTGACCAACAATACATTTTCTAATAAACTGACCAACAATACATTTTCTAATGACCAACAAACATTTTCTAATAAACTGACCAACAATACATTTTCTAATAAACTGACCAACAATACATTTTCTAATAAACTGACCAACAATACATTTTCTAATAAACTGACCAACAATACATTTTAATAAACTAAACATTTTGACCAACAATACATTTTCTAATAAACTGACCAACAATACATTTTTTCTAATAAACTGACCAACAATACATTTTCTAATAAACTGACCAACAATACATTTTCTAATAAACTGACCAACAATACATTTTCTAATAAACTGACCAACAATACATTTTCTAATAAACTGACCAACAATACATTTTCTAATAAACTGACCAACAATACATTTTTCTAATACAAACTGACCAACAATACATTTTCTAATAAACTGACCAACAATACATTTTCTAATAAACTGACCAACAATACATTTTCTAATAAACTGACCAACAATACATTTTCTAATAAACTGACCAACAATACATTTTATCTATAGTTGAAGGCATATATTTATATTCAAAATATATTTAGTTGAAACCATAAAATATTGTCTTGGGTATGATGATAAACTACATTCATCTCCTGCGTAAGACATTAAACTAAATTCAACAGCAAGGCCTCTGATTGGAGTGTGGAACCACCTCTTAATTGATCGTGTTCTCAGGTGTACCCTGTTAGGGTCCCACCTATGGGTAAATAGTTGACCCCCAAACAAGGGTCAAAATGCTGTGGAAGTGTAAAAATAGGTATTAATACCAGCAATACATTTTTGAGAGAAAAATTATTACCAGAAATACATTTTTAAGAAAAAATGTTTTACCAGCAATGCTTCTATGAAGGAAAAATTATTGCCAGCAGTACTTTTTTTTTTTTTTTTTTTTTTTGAAGGAAAAATTATTACCAGCAATAAATTTTTAGAGGAAGATTATTACAAACAAAATATTACCAGCAATACGTTTTTGGAAAAATATTACCTGCAATAGATTTTTGAAAAAATAACATATAAATGTTGATATACCACTAAACCAACCAACCAACATTAAAGAACCCTTTCAGGGCATTAATCTATATAAATATGCTACATTTTCTTAACGAAATCAAATTACATTCAAAAATATAACTTTGACCAAACTACAACATAAAAAATACATATCACCAGCTCCAGTAATTATGTCCACACAAACATATTTATGCACAAAAGCTGAGTATCACTTACCATGTATTCAATTGTGAAAGCAGAATAACATACATCATATTTTTATTACTTCAAATCTCCCAAGAAAATTAAATTTCAGCATTAAAAAAACTTTGTGTTGATATGCTGTTAAACAAATTTAATCAAATATTACTCACCCCATTTCCACTGAGTTCAAGTACCTGGCCAAGGGATTGAACTCAAATTTACTGTCACCAAATTCATCTAGTAATACTTTAATTTACTATGGTAAATTGCTGCCTCCCACCAACCAAATTTTTTTTTTCTTCATTTAGTTCTTGGAATGTTTATATATGTTTATTCTTAAAGGTTTTTTTTTTTTCTTTTCCAGAATTATGGAATCAAATATTCTTCCTCTCAAACTTGGCGCTTTTTATACTGATGCCATTCTCCTATTTCTTCACAGAATCAGAAGGTTTTTCTGGATCAAGGAAGGTAAGAAACTAGTTTTGTCAGAACAACCTGTTAAGATCAGAAAACAAATCAGTTATTTGCAATGAGACGTTTTTTTTTTTTTTGTTTTTTAAAATCTTTCTTATAAGAAAGGGTCAGTAAGGTGCCAAGTCGACCTTTTTAATTATTAGTGATGGGTGAGTATTGCCTTCTTACCATTGCTGCTGATTACTTTGCTATACTATGTGAAATATTTCGATAGATAATTGGAAGGGGGAGCACTTAAGAGTTATGTCACTTTGGAAGAGAAAGATCAAGGAACCAGTTTTGCCATTAATGGCCAGTGGAGGTAATTATTTATGATTGCATTAATGGCCAGTGGAGGTAATTATTTATGATTGCATTAATGGTCAGTGGAGGTAATTATTTATGATTGCATTAATGGTCAGTGGAGGTAATTATTTATGATTGCATTAATGGTCAGTGGAGGTAATTACGATTGCATTAATGGTCAGTGGAGGTAATTACGATTGCATTAATGGTCAGTGGAGGTAATTACGATTGCATTAATGGTCAGTGGAGGTAATTACGATTGCATTAATGGTCAGTGGAGGTAATTACGATTACATTAATGATCACAGGAGGTAATTATTTATGATTACATTAATGATCAGATGAGATAATTATGATTACATTAATGATCAGATGAGATAATTATGATTACATTAATGATCAGATGAGATAATTATGATTACATTAATGATCAGATGAGATAATTATTATTACAATTTACATCTAAAACAGTGAAATAATTGGGTTGAGGTGTAGGTTTTCAAAAAAAGTTTTATTTGCATTAATGTCTACATCCAAATCTGGAAAAATAATTGCATTGATTTGTGCATCTAAAACTCTGAAATAATTGCCCTAAAGAGTGTGCTCCAAGTTGTGAAATAATTGTGCTAGGAAGGCCCAGGTGTGAGCTATGAATTGGAGATGTTCTAATCGAGCAAGTAAAGAAGTTTAAATATCTGGGAAAGACTGAAAATGTAACCCCAAAATCCAGAGATGCATTGGAATAGCAAAAGATGCTTTCTAAAAACTAAACAAAGTATTAAGAAACAGGAAATTTTCATTAGAAACAAAGAAAAGAGTGCTGAACTGCAATGTAATATCAGTCATATATGATGGTAAATGCTTCACCATCTCGGAGATAGGAAGACTTTAGGTAACAGAAATGTAGTTCTACAGAAGAATACTTTGGACCAAACATATGAGTAACTAGGAAGTTTTAAGGATAATGGAAATAAAAGGGATCATAAAGAGACAGTTGAAATTTCTGGGACACAACAAGGAAAGAAGACTTGGAAAATTTGACACTCATAGGACATATTGAAGAGGACAGAGGGAATATGAGAAGGCTTTTTTAAATGGATAACAGACCAGTGAGAAGGGGAGTAAAAAGACAATCACTGCTGGGTATATTTGTCCAGCCTTCCCTCTAAAGCAGGATGTGACACAAGGTCATTTTTACTTGGGGAGTGCGTAAATATATGTATACATATGAGACAAGGACAAAATATTTTTGCCTAGTCACCACCACTGCTGTAATGCTGGCATAAATATTACACTGACTCTACATCTCTTATGAGAGGTAGAGTCAGTGATGAGGGAGGTGATGTCACAGGGTTGGGATCCCCAGGACCATGTGCCTTCTCCCATTTAAAATGAAGAGAAATGTTTACTCCTCTTCTGGCCAAAAATGATCTCCTGTGCCAGGTAAGTGCTAGGAGCTACAAAGGATGGGAAGTTATGGAGAGCAGTGATCTCCCATGTCCTTAAGGGACACAGCATATAGAAAAAGGACACTTCCCAAGCTGTGCAATAATTGTGTTAGTGTTGTTCTAAAAGAACTGAAAAGTTAGGCAAAAATCAAAATAATTTTGTTTTTCTTCCACTTCAAGATTAGAAAAAGGCTAAAATAACTGATTTGGAAAAAACTCTTCTCTACAAAACCAACATTCTAACTTGTCCTTCCTCTTCAATCGAATTTCTATAATGATACCGTTGAAGTAAAAAACAAGTAGGTCTCACTGTTTTACTGTCGAACTAGCTACATACAACTGCTACACTAACAGTTTCTTTTCTTGCACTTGCCATCTGTGAAACTCCCTTCCGATTTCTTGCTTCCCTGAAAACTGCAATCTTCAAAAATTTAAATGCAATGTCAATTGTCTTCTTGAATCCCATTCATCCATTGCCCTCATTCCTCCCTGTTCTATACAAACATTTCCACAGCTTTTTTCCCTGGTGTCCTGTTTTCATGAATTTGAAGCATGCTACTAGTATGGCAACCAAGTCTTACTGTTGAAATAGCTAAATGCAACAGCCACTTCTACCCCAAGAGTTTCTTTTCTCGCACTTCCCACATGTGAAGCTCCCTTCAGATTTCATGTCCTGGATATGACAATAAACTATGTCCAACAGCAAGGTCTTTGATCAGGAGGTTTTGAGGAGCATGGAATCACCTCTTAATTGCTTGGGTTCCCAGGTCCACCCAGGGTGGTAGTACCCGTTAGGGTCTCAGCTATGGGCAAATAGTTGACCCCCAAACTGGGGTTGAAACACTATGAAAGTGTAAAAAAAATAATTACCAGCAATAGATTTTTTGAAAGAGAAAAATATTACCAGAAATAGACTTTTTTGAAGGAACTAGCAACACATTTTTGGAAAAAAAAAAATTTTGTCGGCCTTAAATAACCCATTGAGGTTGATATGCTGTTTTAACAAACCTAAACCTTCAGATCTCTTGCTTCCCTGATAGCTGCAATCTTTGAAAATTTAAATGCAACATAAATCACAATCCTCTGTCTTCTTGAAGTCGGTTCTCCCCCCCCCTTTGCTCAGCCTCTCTCATACTCTCTCACTTTCCCTCCCTGTAATCTCCAGCATTCTAATGGCTCTATCGCCTTGCTTGAGAGTGAAACAAAACAAACAAAAAAAAAAATAACAATGTGAAAACTCATTACAGTACTACCCTTCCACCTTAACCATCATGATATTTATTAAATTTATTTTTATTTAAAATTATAATTGTCTCCTATTCTTATTACACTTCTCAATTGAGCAGCCTCTGTTAATGTAATGTAATTCTTCCCAAAAAGTATGTCACTTGCAAATTGTTGACTACACTCCCCTTTTTGGAGCTGTTTAATCTTTAACTTTCAGATTTGGTTTAACAAACCAGCAAAAGAGGAAACCTATTAAATGAAAAACCTTTAAAGTACTTACCAGAAATTCTCATGCAAAATTAATTGATTTAAATTGTTTCTTCTCTCTATGCATCCACTTATGTGTGAGCGCTGAAAGGTTCTCAGCCTAACTACTCACAGGACATGCTTGAGACTAGAGAAGTAGGGTAAACAGTGAGTAACTGATATGTCCCAGAAAGGGATATACTTGAACGAAGTAGCTAAGTGGTTTTGGCTACTATAACCAAGTAGAATATGGTTGCAGTAATCAACTGGTACACGTCGTCATCGCAGGTAAAAAATGTAGATCAATGGCGTAGTCCAATGGGCGTCGTTATAGACTTAGCTCTCAGACTAAGGCTCTGAGTCTCCTACATGTCCATCAGTATTTATGATAGGCACTAGCCAATCATATTCCAGTGAGGGGGAACACAGGTGTATGCATATTCCATTATATCAGTAACCTACTTAACGAGTTTGTGGAGATGGATTGCAGAAAAGGAACAAAGAGGAATGCTGAAGTATTAAAAATTACTTGGAGCAACAAAAGACAGGAAGTTGTGAAGGGTCATGATCATCTACATCCTGAAAAGTCCTAGTATATAAAAAATGAGAGTGCATTAACTGTTATTCAGCATTTAATATTCTATATGGCAGTTGTGAAGGGCTATGATCATCTATATCCTGAAAGGATCTGGTGCATAAAAAGGAGAGTGCTTAATAGTTATTCAGCATCTAATTTCCTATATGGCAGCTGGGAAGGCCCATGATCATCTACGTCTTGAAAGGACCTGTCAACCAAAAAAAAAAAAGAGTGTTTAAATTGTTATTCAGCATCTAATTTTCTATATGGCAATGAATGCTGAACAATTTTCTTACATATGAAGAAGAGACTTGAATACAACAGAAATATTGTTCTGCCAACAAATTCTCAGAAAACCATAGATAGAACATGCAATTACCGAGTCTTAAGGAAAAATGAGCCAAGTAAATTTATACTTACAATCAGAGAGAGACAAAAAGAAAATTCTAGTACGCATAAAAGAGCCTAGATAAGTTAATACTCACTGCACATCCTGAAGACAAGAGATGCTGGGTAAACAACAAGTATCCTACTTAACAAGTTTGCCTGAGTAGATGGCAGAATGGAGGGCAAGGAGGTATCATAAAGGGTCAAAATTACTTAGAGAGCAATAACAATCAGGACACTGGAGACCCATGATTCGCAACATCTGATAAGACTTGTTACATAAGAACATAAGAGAAGAGTCAATTAGTTTCTGGATTTGTAAAAAAAAATGTCATTTAGTAGGGAAGAAGATTGTGTGTGCATGCACGTATATAAAAACAAACACAACTATATATATTTATATATATATATATATATATATATATATATATATATATATAAAAACACAACTATTATATATATATATATAAAACACAACTATTATATATATATATATATAAAACACAACTATTATATATATATATATATAAAACACAACTATTATATATATATATATATATAAAACACAACTATTATATATATATATATATAAAAAACACAACTATATATATATATATATATAAAACACAACTATTATATATATATATATATAAAACACAACTATTATATATATATATATATATAACACAACTATTATATATATATATATAAAGGGAGAGATTGTGTGTGATAAAAAAAAAAAAAAAACGGAGAAACAAAAAAGTTTTTTTTCAATTTTCAGTGTCCAAACATTTTCAACGTTCACTATATGTGCGTATGAGTTA